TCCTGTTCCCACTATCTACATAGCATTGACATTGTATTGGGTTAGATATTTTAAGTCATCTGGAAAGATTAAAATATACAAAAAAAAAAAAGATGCACATGGGAAATATGCCCACTCAAGTGCCCATGGATTGTGGCCTTTGTAAAAAGTCCTGGACCCAATCCCTGACAAATACCAAGGGAGCACCTATCTCATTTGAAATTGCAAATGTAGCCAAAGGAGAAATAATGTGACTTATTAAATGTTGAAATGAAGAAAGGTTAAATAAGTAGGGGGTAGTGTTAACTACATCCATGACAGGGGCATAGCTCTTGTCTAGAGTGATAGATATAGAAATGAGGAATCCATACATACCAAATTATGGAGGGGTAAACATCGGAAATCTGCCCGGAAGAGCTTGCCTCTGGGGAGAGGGCTCTGGTTTTTCTCTTGCTCTTCTGTTTCCTTGGCTTTCCTCCAACCACCCTGCTTCAGTGTGGTGTCTTACAGGAAACAGTCCCTGGCTCTGTCACATGACATGTGCATAATACATGGCTTCAAGTCCAGAGAAAGAGGCCCTCTTCTCTGATCTTACTGGTTTCCCGAGTGAGAGATCTGCATTTTCTGTTTCTGCATGTCCTCATGGCACTTGAAGACCTGCTAATGTCTAGGGAGCAGGAGAGATGGCGTTAAGACTCCATCTTCCAGAGGACCCACGTTTAGTTGCCAGCACCCATGGTGGGACGTTCACAACTGGCTACAACTCTAACTTCAGGGAATCTAACACCTTCTAGACCAGTGGTTCTCAACCTTTGGGATGTGCATGTCAGATATTTACAATTCATAGCAGTAGCAAAATTACAGTTATGAAGTAGCAATGGAATAATTTTATGGTTGGGGTCACCATAACATGAGAGGCTGTATTAAAGGATCACAGCATTAGGAAGGTTGAGAACCACTGCTCTAGACTCTTCAGGTACCTTTTCACACATGGCATAATCTCTCACAGACGCACATAGATACACATAAATAGAAATCTTTTAAAAACTTAATATGTCTGTCTTAGGGGTTTTTTGTTGTTTTGGTTTTTTGTTGTGAAGAGCCACCATGACCATGGCAGCTCTTATAAAGGAAAACATTTCATTGGAGCTGGCTTACAGTTTCAGAAGTTTTAGTCCATTATCATCACAGTGGGAAGCATGGCAGCAGGCAGGCAGACGTGGTTCTGGAGAGGTAACTGAGAGTTCTACATCTGGATTCATAGGTAGCAGGAAGAGACCATGAGCCACTAGGCCTAGCTTGAGCTTTTGAAACCTCAAAGCCCCCCCCCCCCGCCCCCGCCCCCCATCTCTCCTCCCCATAACACACTTCCTCCAACAAGGCCATATCTCCAATAATGCTACTCTATGGGGGCCATTTATTTTCAAACCACTGTAGTGTCTCAAATAGAAATCATTCTCTTACTCATGGAATATATGTCTATACTTTGTTTTCAACAGTAAAATTACACATACCATTCTGTGACATTTTTACATTTACAGAGTTGTATAGCTGTTTCCACAATCCAGTTTTGTCACAATTTTGTCTCTCTGAAAAGATTTCTCCTATTGACCTGTAACTTACAGTTCCAGCTTGAGGCCCAGGCAGCCACTACTCTACCCTCATTTCTACGGTTTGCCTTTTCTATAAATTTCACGTAAGTAAAATCATAGGTGTTCTCTTCTGTAATTCACTTAGCATGTTTTGAAGTTCATCCATATTTTAACATACATGACTGTTTAATTCCTCATTGTCGTCAAACAGTATCCATTGTATGGTCACACCCACGATTTGCTTATCTTTTTGCCAGGTGATGGACATGTGGATTGTTTCTACTTGAGGACAGCAAGAATGAAGCCATTTTAAATATTTGTGTAAAGCTCTTGGTGTAGACCCATGCTTTCATTTCTTTCATACACATTTATGTGCTAAATTTATGCTTAACTTTTCCCCCCTGTGGCCCTGGGAATTGACTCTCTGGCCTGGCACATGCTAGGGAAGCACTCTGTCCCTGAGATGCATTCCCAGCCCGTATACTTAACTTTTTCAGGACTTCTCCAAGTATTTTCCAAGGCAGATGTACTGTGCTGTAGCTTGCCAGCAATGAGTGTGGGTCCTGGTTTCTCTGTTCCTTGTCAGCACTTGATGTTGGCACTGTTGTGATTTGCTGTTCAAGTGGGTCTGAAGTGGCATCTCACCTGTGTTCATCTACCTGATATTATACTTTGTTTAATTGCAGCAACATTTGAAAAGCACCCTTGTTTCTTTCTTTCTTACTCTGCTTCCTTGTTCTGTGGTATGCCTCTTATATTTTTGGTTGTGAGCCTAGCCTTTAGCGGCTGAGCCACCTCTCCAGCCCTTTTTTGGAGGGGGGGTTTCGAGACAGAATTTCTCTGTGTAGCTTTGTGCCTTTCCTGGATCTCGCTCTGTAGCCCAGGCTGGCCTCGAACTCACAGAGATCCGCCTGGCTCTGCCTCCCGAGTGCTGGGATTAATGGTGTGCGCCACCACCGCCCGGCGTTATGCCTCTTAAGTATATCTTTAATTACTGTTCTTTGTCCTCATTTCTATTTACTTTACTTCACTATGCTTGACTACTAAAATAATAATAATAATAATAATAATAATAATAATAATAATAAAGTTTTTTCTGATGCCAACTATTTTCTATACTATTATTAATATGAACTTCGTAATATGCCAATATGACCATGCAGCTCCTTTGCCAAATCTCTTCAGGGACTTCCCGATGCCCTTTGGGTGATATTTATGTCCGGACTCTGCTTTCCTCACACCTGGAACCCTTTTCTCTACCATCTCACACTCCTGCACACTGCACACCCTCCACATATGTGCCCTGAACACATCCTGGCCTGTAACCTACCAACAATTAGTTGACCACCTTGAATCTTCTTTCTTTGTGCTTTTGAACATTGTGTGAAATGTTCATCCATCTCTGCTTACAAAAGCTTCTTTATTCCAAAGGTCATGTGCAAATAATACTACTTCTTGGAGTCTCTCACTTTTCCTTATTAGTCAACCAGTATTATTGTGTTTGGGGTGTGTGTGTATAGTAGTATAACCCCAGGGCTACACAGCAAGACTCTGTCTTAAATAATAAAACAGCGCACATACATAGGAGTTGGCAAGAATCATAGATTGACCCACATGAAATTATCCTTGTTTTAAGTAAAAATCTCACTTATGTGAGTTTTTGTGTTAGCTTTCTGTCACTATGGAAAATCACTGAGAAAAGTAAAATAAAAGAGCAATTTATTTTGGCTCAGAGCCTTGGTCTATAGTTAGTTGGCTCCATTGCTTTTCAGCCTGTGGGAGACAGAACATCACCTCAAAGAACATGGTGTCCAGGAAACAGGATGGTCCAGGGTCCCTATGTCCCAGCTAAGGGCCCATCTCAAATGGCCTAACTTCCTCCACTAGGTCCCACCTCGTAAAGGCTCCACCACCGCCCAGTAGTGCCATCAGATAGGTACCGAACCATCCAACACATAAGCTTTGGGTAGGGGGCATTTAAGATTCAAACCACAATAATGAACCAACCAAAGACACTGTTTTTAATTACTTGTTTTATGCTTGTCATTCTGTGACCAACAGGAGGTGGGCATTTGTTAAAGATAGTCACAACTTAGCATACTTGTTCACAGGAAAATGGAGAAATTCTTCTTAAATACCAGGACTTCCATTCAGTGAAATGCTAGCTTGAAAATCTTATTTTCTAATGTAGAATCACATGCATCCAGGTAGCTCACATCTGCAAACCCAACATTTGGGAGGCTAAGGCAAGAGAACTACAAATTTTAGGCAAGTCTGAGCTACACAGCAAGACTCTGTCTTAAATAATAAAATAAGGAATCACATGGCTCTCCTTGTTATTAATTTCTAGTGTATAAAATATACTCGTTACAAATTGTTGTGATACACCTCTTAATAAATACATCTTGAATGGCTTAAGGTCACGTGATTTCCCATGTACACTTTAGTGCTCATTCCTATGTTAATTATTATATTGACATATGAAATCTATTGACAGCATAATAGTTTCCTAATTCAAATAAAAAATAAAAGATACTTTTCATCATCTCATTTTCAGTCTCAAATACTGTATGCTAAAATGATTTATGTAAATATAGACATATGTATGTACATATATGTATAGTGACTATAGCTATAAGAATTTCCTTTGAATGTGGGAGATAACATATAGTGATGGAAATACGTCTGTAGTGAAAAGCTTATCATATATATATATATATATGAACAAATGTATTTGTTTCTGTGTTTTATACCATGAATTAATGATGTCTGAATTGTGATTTTAGAAAAATGTAACCGTTCATATAATTTAAATAATTATATGAAGGAAACACCTATACTTCATTTAAACAGATTTATAGATTAATATTTTAAAACATGATTTTCAGAATGTAGCCTTTCTTAGTGTATGTCAGGCTCAGGGATCTATGCAGAAGGAGGCAGGGAGATTGTAAGAACCAGAGGTGATGGATGATTCCAAGGAGACAGCATTTCCCAGACACAGCAGGACTGAGACACACCCGAGTTCCAGGAGATTGTGGCAGCATGCGCAAATGGCTTTGTCACAGTTCCCAGGTGGCTTAGATCGTCAGATCCATTAGTTGCATCATTTCGGGTTGGCACCATAGGTGTGAGCTCTGCTACAACTACTGTTTCCTGCAGTTTCATAAGTTCAAGTCATTATGTATAAATTTTCCATAGTTTATAAGGAAATTATTTTTAAACCCTGTGGTGCACCTATTAGTTTCACATCAGAATGCCATTTCTCCACAAGCTTACATAACGCTTGCGAGTTAGTAAGACATGCAGAGATTAGTAAAGACTCCGAAGACTGTGGCTTATTTCATAACTTGGAAACTTGGAGCACGCTTTAGGGCTGCTACCTAGGGCAGCTCCTTCCTCCGAGTGCAACCCTGCCCGTTCGCAGTTTGGAAACATGTGGGAGTGGTTCCCTCAGCTGCTTGCTCCTGACCTCTGTGCACACCTTGCTCAGCCTTGACCTCGCCCACACTGAAGTGACATAAATCAGATTTTTGACATGTTGTAAACTGCAAGTCACTGCTGCCGAAGTCCTCACTATTCAAAAACTTGTGAAACACTGCATGTCTAGCAAAATCTACTTTTTGTATGGGAATATAAATTTTTGTTGAGGTAAGCCCTGTTCGTGTGGAAGGGGGAAAAAGTTAGAATTAACCAGTGATATACTTTTACTGTGTTTATGTGTTGGTTCTTGATTGTTTCTCTTTTTTCTCTCTCTCTTTGCCTCCCTCCCTCTCCCCTTCTCTGTGCCCTCTCTCTGATTGTCTGTAAAAGATTGGTGCTAAAAGAAGTCTTTAATACTGCACCTGTTCTTATATGAAGTAGTAGATTAAACTTTCTGCTTCAGTCTTGGTACTGCATCAGGAGCTTGCAGTCACCACAAAAGTATGGGTGCTCCTCAGCTCTTGTTGAGTGCCTTTGTTTCTGTTACGGTAACAAACTTCACACACAAGCATGTCCACTTATTTACTTTGCCTGGCCAAATGTCAGACCCTGTTTTAAAGACAGGCATTTGTCAGCTGATTCACAGGCAGAATGTGTGACCTCCGCTGAGTGTGGATGTGCTCTTATAAAAGTTTTCCAGTTGTAGCAGAAGTGCAAGAATTGTAAATGCTCTTTGAGATTTTTCTATAGGCTGACCGTTTTCAGCAAGTTGAAAAACTGTGAGGTTATGGGTTCTTCCGAGAAGCTGGCATGGAAAAGCACAAACGTCTCTTGAGATGACTCAGTTGAACATGCTGCTGCACATCTTCATGCACGTTCAACGACACTGAAGCCTTATCCAAAGCTAGCCTTTTTAACATTGATCTTTGTTTCCTCTGTTCACATTTCAGCGTTAGATGTTTATCTAAGATGCTCAAATTCTGTCGTACATGTTTTCTTTTCAACAGTTTAAAGTTTTGCTGATTGAACATTTGACATTTTATAATGCCCTCAAAACAGGATAATTTCTCCTAAAATATAAATTTTAAATTATTTTAGGTGCTGTCTTTCAACCTTAATCCTTTCACCAAGAATGAAACTATTTAAAAATTAAGATGCCAACAGGTAATTTCTTGTAAGTTCATACTTTTTGTCTATATGTGAGTTTTATTTAGCAATAAAATGGCAAATGTTTATTAACATAAAGCTATATTGTCCCTCATGCAAAGCCTTCCATAAACATAGTTTCAAAACTATATAACATAAAGCTATTTTACTTTTATGTTTTATTGTTTGCTTTTATTGTTACTGTTGTTTTTTCAAAGTGAAAGATTCTAGCTTTCTATCTGGTATCAACTTCTCAAATACTAAATGAATGAATTCAGAATAAAAATAGTTCAGGGGTAGTAATTCAGGTCAGGTGAGTTTCCTTTACTGATAAAACACCAGGTGTTACTGAGAGGTATCTTGTAAAGCAGTTAAAATCAAAGACATTGATTCCAATTGTGACAGTCACATTCCATCCTTAATTTTAAAATGTGTTGCCTTTCTTGATTCTGATGGAATAATAATTGACTTTTTATTTGTTAGCCAAGCCACTCCTAAAATATTATATGTTAGGAGTTCAATTGTTAAGAAACATGGCATTGTGTAAGAAATAAAAGGGGAGTCTAAAAAAACTAGTTTGGGCCAGAATACTTTCTTTTTAAACACTTAAAGTCTTTGTAGATCTGCTTTTACTTTATTTGCATTTTTATACTTTTTAAAATATACTTTCATAGTTGCCATGTGAAGCTGAAAAGGTTTTTTTCCCCTCATTTCTAAAGTAAAAGGAAAATTTAAGCTTTTCAAATTCAGACTGTAGATTCTGAGCTCTTTACAATTATGTCTTAACAGGTATCAGTATTTCAGAGGTCAATATACTAACATTTTTTAATTCCAAATTGAATGCCAAATGGAAGTAATGCCATTTTCTTCTTTAATTAGACAATTCTAGGCCATGTTTTGGACAGAAACAGTCAGGAACTAGCAACATGCAATCTTAAAGCAGTATGAGGGTCTCTTTAAGGAGAAGTTATCAATTTTCCCATCTAAATAGCAGTTGATGACAACTGATTACAGAAAGGTCAAAGGTGAAAGAGAAAGTGAAGCTGGAGAAAAGGAGGGAAAGAGGAGAGCAAGAGAGAAAACGTGGTTCTTTTCCTTGATGTTCTAGACATGGAGGTTGTTGCTAAGCAGCAGGCTGTTTTCAGTCTTCCTCAAGACCCCAGTCCTCACAGCTTCAAGCTATAACTGAAAACCCCTTGCAAATCAACCCTTGTTCGGTTATATTTCCTTTGGGTTTTGACATTGATATGTAAAGGTTGTTTAGAAATCGTAATCTATTTCAATTATCTAAATCTCTTCCCACTACAGTTTCAGAATTTTTAAAATATATTCGAGACATAAAAAGTAGTGTAAGACTCTCAATACAGCTTTGTTCAGGAAGTGTCCACGTCACACGGACTCTCCAGACTGCACGAGGGCCAGGCCCACTCTGTAGCAAGGCCCTCACCCCGCTGTTGTAATCTAACTGAAGACCTCTTACTTCTGTCATAGAGCTTCTGAATGTAGTGTGGCCAACAGCCATACCCTTAGCACAGAACGATTTTTGTTTCATAGGGATAGACACCCTTGCCTCTGAAATAGGAGTCAGATTGTTCCACTTCGAGAACAATGTCATTCTCTTATAAATGCTGATCGTTCTTAGATGAGACATTCCAGTACCTGGCGGCATCAGAAGAGGTTTAACCAGCTTTCTCTATTTCATATGCATGTGTATTGTAGATCACGAGGAGCCCTGTGGCCCCAGCCTCAGGTCATTTTGCCTGAATGGGGGGATTTGTTATGTGATACCTACTATTCCCAGCCCATTCTGTAGGTGAGTGAATTGGACTGGGGGAGAGGGGACTACAGTTCTCGCCGCTTGATGACTTGAGAAGAGATTTCAAAAGGTATAAAGTATAAGATGAAGGGGAGTGGGAATGCTCTGAGCTCTTTGTGTAGAACATTCAGATTCTGGAAGAAAACAAAACCAAGTCTCAGTGTGGTGCTCATTTTCAAAACTGGCGTGGTTGTTATCGGCCTAGACAGATTATAAAGAGCATGCTGGAGAGAGCCTTCATAATTGTGGCAGTTTAGGGAAAGTGGTCTGTTCAACATTGCTAGCAAAACATCGTGAGAAATCACTAGTATGAAAAGCCCAAACAAGACGTTTTACTTTAATTTTAGAATATATAAATACAAGATAACTAACTGGTCTTTAACTACTGTTTTAAGAGATTTAAAAGACATTGTAGTTCATCCTCCAAATTCTAATTGTTCAGTTCTGAGTTTAAATTTTTCCATTGTTACTTTTTTTCTTTGTTAGAATCCCTTAATGTGCCTTAATGACTTTGTGGTCAGAACATTTGAACTGTTGAGCTGTCTACACTGAATAGTTAAAAAAAAGCACTAAAGCCAGACATGGTGGCCACACCTTTAATCCCAGCACTAGGAGGTTGAGGCAGGCAGATCTCTAGGAGTTCCAAACCATCCTGGGCTTCTATAGTGAAAGCCTGTCTCAAAACAACAAAAGACAGTATTAAGAACACCAGGATCTGGAGATTGATTAAAATCGGAGGGAAGCTTGGTTGCCTGCAGCTTTTTTACTTAGATAAATGTGTTTTTAGTACATTTCCAAAAAGTTACCCTCAATAAATGAGAACAGGCAGTTTTTCTGGTAAAATACTACATTTAAGAATGTAGCTGGTTTCTTCCTGATTTGCAATTTTGAACAGCAATTAATAGTAGTCGATGCCATGCTCTGAGTTTGGGACAGGTAGAGAATGAAGGCTTTGAAGGCTGGCCAGCATGTCGTATAGCTGTAAGAGGTTAGTGGGGTTAGGTTGTTCAACACCCTGGAGGAAGAGAGATCAGGCGGGATGAGATGGGAGGGCTGGGAAGACTGAGAGTCAAGGAGTAGGGTGTCTGAAGGTTGGGGGAGTTGAAAGACAGACTTATTTTAAATCATGTATTATTTTATAAGAAAATAATTGTTTTCCAAGGACCTTAGGACTATATTTCTGATGTAGTTCTCATTTACAGATTGCAATACCAATATCTGAGGGTGATACATTCATTTTCCATCTCTTTGATACTATTTCCTGTATTCCAATCATCTTAACATCAAGACACACAGACTGACTTCTGACTGGTATTTCTAGTTCAGCCAGTTGTCAATTCAGATTTCTTCTTTGCTTCTTTAATCTCCTTAATCTTGCCTCCTTAATCTCTCCAGTCTGTTTTTACTATTGGCCTACTAGCTCAGACCTTCCTGACCCCAGGCTTCCAACAGAAACAGTCCCAAAACTTAACTCCTGGAGCCCCGTTCACATCACTGTCGGGATAAATCAAGAAAACTTGAGCCACAGACCCTGCGCCCACACATCAGCTACCTGTGAAGTCAAACCTTAGTGTCTTGTTTAGCTTTCAGAGCCTTTTACAATTTGGCACCAAACCTCCCTTTGTGGCCTCCACTTCATGCGTGGTCAGTGCTTGGTCTAGAAGCACTGTTTGTGTTAGATATACCTTGATGATATTGCTTACCTTGAATTTTCAACGATTCTGTCTCTTGTTGCTATGTAGCCACATTTAAAACCTACTCATATTTCAAGGCTACTTTCTCCCTAATCCTTCAGCCAGTCACAAATCAGAGCTGACTTCTCCCTGTGGACTTCTACAGAAATGTGTGAAAGTTATTACTTTATATTTTGGGTCGTCTCTCTATTCAGCACTCTTATTGGAATATAAAGAGCTCCATTCTATCTCACCACCTGTAGGCATGGCTTGTATTGACTGAATGATCCAGTATCCATGGTGAAGTTTTAGAAATAATTTTATGTCTGAATCAGTGATGAGTATTCTATAGTAAAATAGGTAAGTGAATTAGGAAAGAAAAAAAGATAGAAAAGAAAGGAAAGAAGAAAAAGAAAAGAAATACCACAATGGCAGGTGATGTCTGAATATCCTTTACAGATCTGATACGATCTCTCCATGATACAGTAAGTGGCATTTTCTCCTCCTGTCTGTACTTTTTTTCTTCACTGAGCTTTCTCAAAATATACTCTGGTTTTCTTTATATAGTTTATCTAGTTAGTCATTTAAATAATTTTAAGCTAACATTTTAATTGAGTAACTGATACTAATTCTTCAGTGTTTCTTGGGCACGGTGCTCACACGTCTGTTCTCATAACCCAGGGTGTTGGAGACTGTAGGAGTGAGGCAAGTTCATGGCCAGCCTGGGAGACAATGTGAGACTCTGTCTTAAAAGAAAAAAATCTTTGGTGTTTGTTAAGATTGGCTTTGAAGCCTGGTTCATGGACAGAATTGGAAGTAGTCAACCTGTGTTAGAGGAGGGTGTGGATTCTAAGTGATGGGTGCAGGGTTGTATATGCCCATTAGTCCAAGCTTTTTGTTTCCCTGGTATCCTTCCCATGTTCTTACCTGTTTGGTTTGTCAATAACTTAAGAGCTATGCCAAAAGTTCCTTCTGTGATTCTGAGTCTTCAATGTGGTTTCTGCTAATTTTTGCTTAAAATATTTTGAAGTAATATTATTAAGTCCATGTAAATATATAATGGATTGTTTTCTGGTCAAAACATCCCTCTTACCATTGTGTGATAGTGGCCTTTGTCCCCAACAATGCTTTCTATCGTCACACACCTATTTCATTGACGTTAGAGTGGCTAAGCCAGTTGTCCCTTGAGTATTTGACTAGTAGAATTTTCACCTAATTCTATTAGGTGCATTTGTAAATATACAAAGTAAGCTTTAAAAGTATCCTGGATGTTTTTATGTCTAAAATGTTTTTCTTTTAATAAGAGTTAATCAAATTTTGCTTTTCTGGTTTTATCACTGAATTTTTAAATCAGTTTTTAACCATCTTCCCTTAGGGTTTCTACTGCTCTTTAAAGATGCCTTCTAATCTTTTTAGTGTGCTTTGTTTCATTTTGTTTTGTAGCAAGATCTCACACTGGCCCTGGCTGGCCTGGAACTCTTACATAACCCAGGCTGGCCTGGAACTCTTATGTAACCCAGGCTGGCGGGGACTCCAGGGATGTGATGATGCCATGCCCAGCTTCGTACTTGCCTTTAGTTCTAGGACCTGGAACTATGTGTATTAATTAGGAAGTACAACACGTGTGCTGAGCCTACCTCCACGCTGCTTCCCCTGCCTGAGATGCTGTTCTCCTCTGTCTGTGAGGTCAATGGCTTTGCCTGCTCTCTGTGAAGCCTTCTACAGCCTGTCTAAGCAGGTGGAGGGGCTCCTGCCTTTGCTCCATCCTACCAGCGTCACTAGCGTGGGGGCTGACATCTGATAAGTTTTAACTTTTCATTAAGTCACCATTTAGTATATTTCCTTTGATTGTCATATCTAAGGATTCATTGCCAGACCCCAAAGCTTTCACCTTGCTTCCTTCTGAGATGTTTACATCTTATGTTTGGGTCTTTGATCTGTTTTACGTTAATTTTTGTGTTTGGTATGAGTTAAGTTTTTTGGTTTTGTTGTTTGTTTTGTTTTTATGTACCTGGGCGGTTTGTCTAGCTTCATGCGGTGAAAGGCTGTCTTTCCTTCCTTGCCTGGTCTTGGTGACTTGACCACGTGTGAGGGCTTGTTTCTGGGCTCTGGAGTTCTGCTCTGTTGGGTCCATAGTCTGCATTTACATTGTTATCACAATTTTTTGTTTGTTTTTGTTTTTGTTTGCTTGTTTTTTGGTTTTTGGTTTTTCGAGACAGGGTTTCTCTGTGTAGCTTTGCGCCTTTCCTGGAACTCACTTGGTAGCCCAGGCTGGCCT